CTGGCAGATGACCGCTGGGGGATGTTGCCTTGCTGCCACCCCATCCTGGGGTCTCTGGGAGTTTTAAGCCCCTTTGCCTTGGTTCCCAGTCACTGCCCTTCTGTTGCTCTTGAGCTCCAGCTGTGTGCACTGGCTGCCTACAGTTTTGTCCACCAGCATCTCACCAACATCTGAAACACAGTCAGCCTGAGGCTTGACTTTGGTAGTCCTGTCTGTGCTGTCTCTGTCTTCTCTCTCCCGGGCGAGGACTGCTCATTCTGGTTAGGCCATGTGTGCCCCTCCTGCCATCTCTGCCCCCTCCAGTTCTTGGTCCCTGTGGTCGATGCTGCTCAAACAGCAGCAGAGTCTCCACCCCGCTATGTTCTGCATTCCTGTGTTGCCCCTCTGCCTTCTGGTCTCTGTGCACTACCTGTGCTCTTTACCTAATGTGAGTTTTGAAATGACTGCCTTTTAAAATATAACTTTATTTTAAAAGAAAAATTTTTGTTACTACTATATACACAAAACCAATGCTGTATAAGTTAGAAGGTAGTGCACAAGTTGACCCTGGGAAAATTCAGAACCACGTTGAGACCTGGTGTGCCTCGCACTCCAGCAGACACCAGTCCCACTGAGAAGTGCTCCTAAGCAGGTGGGCGGAGCTTGAAATAGAAGAGGGATCCTGGTGCCAGGATTCTCTCCTCCAAGCTGGGAAGCCCTGTCTGAAAGTGTGGCTGGCCTGGGCCTTCTGGGAAAACCCTCCTCCTGTGCCTCCTCCAAGGAACCTGAGGCCACATGCTTCATGACACCTCATTGCTGCTTGACAGTGTGTCTGGGAATATGGGGTTGTGGTGGGAGGAAGGGCCCTTAAGCTGTGTGACTTGATCATGTCCTGACCTTCTAGAGCCTCTGATGGGCTGTTCTATGAAGTGAGATGGGGGTGGGTCCTGGTCTGGAATTTGTGAGGTGCTTGTGCTCAGCTTGGTGGTGGAACACTTCTCACCTGCTTCCTGTAGAATGTGCCCTCAGCTCGAGGGGGTGGGGGTGGGGGGGCAGATGAGCTCCTTTTTAGGCAAGGTGACTGTTTTGGATAGCTGGATGTTTATGACTCCCTCTCTGTGTATCCTTCCCCTCTTCACAGGTAAAAATAAGAGAGTTGGGAAGCAGTTAGCCTCTCAGAAAATCCTTCAGCTCCTGCACCCACATGTCAAGAACTGGGGGTCTTTACTACGCATGTATGGCCGTGAAAGCAGCAAGATGGTCAAACAGGTAACGGGACTTTCCTCCCAACCTTGGAGTACATGCTTTGGGTCCCACTGTCACAGGGATAGAGTCAAGCAGCTCTGCTCTTGTTCATGGCCACCTTTCTTGGGTTCTCTGCTGGGCTATTTCTGTGACTTTGTTGGGGTGGGGTCATCCTGCCCAAGGGGCCTGGGCCTGGCTCTGGCAGTGTGGGGAGGGGACTGGAGCAGCAGAAGTGCAGATGGTGAGTGCTGCCAGCCCCGAGACCTTGGTCCAGTGATGGGAGGCCTTATGCTATTTTGAGGCCACACAGCGGCTGAGGGAGAGTGAGCATGCAAGGGCAGCTCTCTTGGCTATGAACACAGTTACTGAGCTTTAATTAATTCAACAGCCTGTGTGTCATTTGTTTTGTTTCTGCTACTTTTGCCAAGATCTTGAGATTTAAACCAATACCTTTAGGTAGATCACAGATAGTTGGATGACAGATGCTTTGTTGGGTGGAGGGAAGTACTAGGAGGTGAGTGTTTACATTTTCAATTTTCCCCCTGATGTTTATAGAAACGCTCTGGGTTATCAGCGCCCCAGTAAGTAGAGGGATGGTCAGTGTAGATTTGGGGAACTACAGGTGGTGACTCCAGAGATCACACGGTAGACCCTCAGACCATCCCTGAAGATGCTCTTGCTCTGGGCATGATAGGGGGGATGAAGGGAGTGACAGGTCCCCAACTTCCTTAGAGGAACCTCAGGATATGTGTTTTTGAGAAAACTTGGATGCAGTGCACATGAAACTTACCTTGCCTTTTATATATGCTTGCCTTCTGTGTATCTTCTCGGGCTAAGGTTGAAGGAGAGAAAGCCCACTTTGGCCCATGGGTGGGAACCTTTCCTAAGCTGGAGGGCGAGGGGTCAAGCCTGGGAACAGCCCAGCATGCGGCTTTTGGAAGACAGGTGGGGTCTGGTACCCCAGATACAGTAGTTGTCCTGAGAGATGGAGGGCTTTAGGACAGTTGGATCTTGCACTGAGAGTCTAGAGCAGCCGTGGGCAAACTACGGCCCGCGAATGAATAAAACTAAAAAAAAAAAAGACCGTACCCTTTTGTGTAATGATGTTTACTTTGAATTTATATTAGTTAACACAAACACTCCATCCATGCTTTTGTTCCGGCCCTCCGGTCCAGTTTAAGAACCCATTGTGGCCCTCGAGTCAAAAAGTTTGCCCACCCCTGGTCTAGAGCATGCAGAGGGCTCAGTGGCTTGGGCTGATGGCCTCCCAGCCTAGGTACCACTTTAGTCAGAGGGCTCTGGGCACAGCAAGCCTGGCTGACTGCTGTATGTAAGGCAGTGGCTAGCTTCCTTGGGTCTGGATAGGGCTGGAAACAGCTGGGTACCTGGGTGCTTTTGTCCCAGAGCAGGTTGTGGCTTTTTGTCCACTGAGGATGGGGCAGTGAGGGCAGCATAATGTTCTCTGCACAGGTTGAGGGTGGGGCAGCTGGTGTGGGGTCCAGGGCAGACCTGAGATGGAGGCACTGTGCTCCTTAGGAGACCTCAGACAAGAGTGTGATTGAGCTGCAGCAGTATGCCAAGAAGAACAAGCCGAACCTGCACATCCTAAGCAAGCTGCAGGAGGAGATGAAGAGGCTGGCCGAGGAGAGGGTGAGCACAGGCCATGGGAGGGTACCAAGCTGTGTCACACTATGGCAGCTGGGGTGC